TTTTGGTTACGTGTAAAAATTAATTCCACATTTTGTTGAGTTGGATTGGAATATTGATATCAATTATACAGATAACCTACCGTTTGTATAGAAAATTATTTCAATAGTTGGCTTCCTTGTGGGGTGGGTTTATTTACTCATTCAACAATTTCGTTGTGGCGGACATACAGTAAGTCGAGGCTCGTCGAAGTTTTGACAGACACACAAGGTATTTTAGCCAATCGATGGCAACTTCAGCAATAATACTTCGTTCCACAAAATTGTCAGGTACCTTTTCACTTGATTAAAAGTATGTTTGATTTTTGTATTCAACTCCAAAATAACACATACTTCACCCACGACAAATATCCAACAATTTTCTGCAGCTCGATTGGTCATCCGACAGGTTTTGTCGCTTCACATTGGTCAAAAGAATTTCTCAGTTTACTATTGGACGAGGATATCGTCGGAGTCGAAACATATCCTTAGCATTTAACATGTACATGCTGTGATTGGACAAAGCCATAAGCAGTTTCAACTGCGCTCCAGATTCAAAAATGATGGAGGGCGCACCGAGCAAGCAGACCATTCAAGACTCCTTCCATGGAGCGTCAACACGCAGAACCTGTGCAACATACCAATGCCAATTTGAGGCATACTGCAAACAGCACAAAAACGGTTTGGTCGCCACTGCTGCGGATAACAATGCCGAAGAACTGTTACACCCTCCCCCTTCAAACGAAACCGACGGGAGTCATGTCGCGGAGTGGTAGTGATGGACTTGGGTTACTTGATGGATTCGGCCATCAACACTACCGTAATGTTGGGGGGAACGTCGAACGAGGCGGGCAAGCGCAAAGCGAAGGAGATCTCCACCGGTGGCGAGGAGAGCGAAATGTTTCTCGTTCTGGTTCTCCCAATACATAGTCTGACAAAAGCAGGACTCGAGTAGGGCCACCGTCTCAAGCTCTTGCAAGAGTTCTTCCGCCGAAACAGCTACGCCACACCAGCAAGCCTGCAGATCGAAGAAGTTCGTCATGCACCTATAGAGCACTTGAGATGTATTTGTAGCTCGATTTCACAACGACTATGGTTCGTACACATGTGTTTACATGTGGACGAAACCGGAATCCAGTACCATTTGCCGCCCCGATACATTTTGTCCCGTCGAGGAGGCAACGCAAAGCCGACAGCAGGCAAGAAGCACTCGTGCAGAATAACGGCTATCTTTGCCTTCGTCTGGACGGAAAGAGGTTGACTACCATGTTCGTCATCAAGGGTGAGCAAGGAGGCCTCATTGAACAGCAAGTGTTCCCAACGTTTCCATACGGTCACTGCTACGCAATACAGTCGAAGACATGGATGGACAGTTCCTTTGAGACGTCGTCGGCATTCCCGGGTGTCGGGCTAATCACGACAAAGTCAAGACCATCGTCGACTGGCCAGTCCCTTCCTCCTTCCTCGGTCTCCGGACTTCGCCGATGGATTGGCTTGGCCGCCTACCTCCACAAATACTCTCGCTGTTTCGCCGACATCGCGCGACGTCTCTTTCGGTTGCTCGTCAAAGACGCGCCTTGGGTTTGTAGAGCGAATATCAGTCTGCCTTAGCCGCCCTCAAATCCAGCATCAAGAGCGCCCGGAACAGTCGCTCCAAGTCTTTTGCAAGGCATTCAGCGTCATTTATGACGCTTCCCAATGTGTCATCGGCTGTTGCTTGATGCATCCTAATGCAGATGGTCGCTGGCGCCCCGTGTCCTTTCAAAGCCGCCAGCTCCACATCGCCGAGCGTTCGTGCCCCATCCACGATCTCGAGCTCCTCTCGATCAGTGCGTATTCACCAACTTCCGCGTCTACCTCATCGGCGCGGACCCTTCATCGTTTATCCCGACCACGCGTCGTTGCGGACTGCCGTCAACATGCCTCAGATGTCAGCTCGCATGACTCGCTGTCTTTGCTTCTTCGACGAATAATACGTCTCAGTTCAATACAAACGGGGCAAGGACAAAGCCCTGGTTGACGCGCTCTCTCGGCGTCCGGATTACTCTGCGTCAATCGACCTTGCCTCGATCGGTTTGTCCATTCCAATCTCCATGATCGCGTCCGAGCTGCACTCCCTCGACTCGGCTTGCTCGGCGGTGTTCATTGCCCTCACCGTCCCGATCATCCAACGCTTCGGCGCTCACCGTCCTTGCATCATCGTTACCCTGTTCGTGATGGACTACTCTTCCATTAGCCTGCCTAGGACACGCCTACGCGCATTGTTGTCCCTGGGGGTGTGCGATTCGTTCCTCCCTTTTGTGTGCGTATCGAGAATCACCCATTGGCAGTCACTTCGGCCGCGACAAAATGTGCGCTGCGTTGTCCCGTTCTTACTGGTGGCCTCGTCAATACAAGCTGTTGTACGACACATCACCCGCTGCTACGCGTGTCTACGCGTCAAGACCACGACTTCCCATACACCCGTTGTCGATTCCAGATGAACTTTAGTCATCGGTTAGGAATGACTTTGTATTTGGACTCCCGCGAGACATTCGTGGCCACACGCGTATCATGGTTTGTGTCGACAGGGCGTCCAAATACATCGTGGCCGTCCCTTCAACGAGTCTGTCAGCGGCATGGTTTCCGCATGTCTTTACTTTGATTATGTCTTTGTCGATTTGGCCTCCCGCTTCACGTCTCACATCTGGTCGGCTCTGTTTGAGCTCTGTGACACCGACCTCGCCATGTCTACGTCCAATCGCCCCGATTCCGTGGGCCAGTCTGAGCGTGCCAACCGCACGCTCGAAGACATTTTGCGCCTGTATTCGGTGGCACAGCCCATCTACTCCGCGCCGGATTGGCGTACAATTCGTCCGTCCAGTCGTACCAGAATTTCTCTCCTCACTCTGCTGTCCATTTACAGCACCCTTAAATCCCTCAACTTCTCGACTCCGGTTTCAGGGAGGACGCTTCCCGTTGCTCTTTCGACAATAATGAAGCGCTAGCCGCAACCCGCGACCTCCCCCGGTGCCCTGTTATATTGTGGCCTATCATAAACAACTAATATTCTTTAAAAAAGAACCTGACGGACTTCCTTGTCCATCGCAAATCTGTGCTACAAAAGATCAAGGACAACCTCGCGATTGCTCAGCACAGACAGGCCACACAATCCGACAGCCATGATCGCTCCAACTCAGAGAAATTTTCTGTCAGCGATATCGTCCTCCTCGACAATTCGGTCCTTTCAGGACTCTAGCTTTTCGTGTGGCCTCTGGAGCCAGCACGAACGCCGACCTACGTTCCACTTGGCACAGCCCGTTCGCTATCCTCAATGTCGTGAGTTAGACTTTCCTACAAACACGAGCTCCACAACGATTGGAAAGTGCACCCGACGTACTACGTCGGCAAACTGAAACGTTATCTCACCCTCTACGATGTCGGGCCCCGACGGAGGCGGCATGTCTGTTCCCGCGTCGACTTCAACTTCTCCTCTTGGTCATCTTCTTCTTCCTCCTGCTGCTGTTCCTGGGCTCATGGTGACGGAAATACAAAGTGCGCCACCGCCTGACGTTCTTCCAGGCTTTCCTTCCACTTCATCGCCTCAGCCCACAATAGAGCGCGTTTAGACCGAAACACCGGTAGTTCCGAACGATGATCCTGAGCCGACACCACCGCTGTCAGTTCTGCATTCATTGTTCCATACCCGCGGTCGCAATCCAGCCCCGTCGATCGCTGTCTAGGGTCAAGTCTCCCTGTCTGCCTCGACTCCTCAAACAAGTTATGCGTCTGTCCCTTTGGTAGGGGTGACGCTCCCAGCACCCCTGCTCGCAGAGTCGACGGCGCAAATATTTTAATTTTAAAATCTTTTTTATATCACCCCCGCCGTCGTTGACGTTGAACTTGACCGCACCACTTGAAGTCCACTCGCGATGGACGAAGGACAGAGAGAGCTTGCCGTCGCAGATGGTTCATTTACAAAATGGTTGTCAGAAGTTGAAGCCTGCACAACCTTACCTCGCGCTCGCGCCGCTTCCTGTGCGAACTACGATCCGCGAGACAAGCACAACAAGCAGACCCCCTAAATCGCACGACGGGTCAACTCAATATTAGGCAAAGACCAGGCCAAGGTCCCCACTGTCGCCGGCCAACCAGTCCGCCAATTTCGTTGACATCATGCGTTTGGGCGCAACAACGAGTACACGACCACGTTAATGTACTCCAGGAAGGTCTCGCCTTCGCGTCGACGTGTCGCACATCAAGCACTCAACTTGGATTGCTTTCGCGCATACGGTCTCTGTTGCGCGTGAACCCTCGCCCATCAGCAGCCACCATCGTCATCGTGGTCATGGCGTTTAAGATTCACAAGCTGTGGCACTTGAAGTAGTCAAGCTCTCCCAAACCCCGCTGAATACGCGTTCGCTTCGAACGCCTGCGCCGGCACACACTTTATCGCCTTCGGCGACGAGGTTCACGTCACTCATGACACCGTCCATTCCAACGCTTCGCCGATATCGTTCACAACAGCAGTACTATTATCGCGAGCTCTTCAAAGTTTCAAGTCGTCGTCGTAACACCGGGCATTTCAGCGCTCTGCGCCAGCACTGCTTCTTCAATGCCGCGTAATCTACTCTGCTCCTCTTGAGCAGCCCGCCCCACTTCCTCGGCT